CCCCAAAACCCCAAAACCCCAAAACCCCTTTAAGACTGATTGACGCTATAAAATTTTCCAATAAATATAAATTAATAACTAAAGATTGCTCCTCAAAAATGAATAAATCACTATCACAGGATTCTTTGGAGGAGTAGTAATCTTTGATCAAGCAAAATGAAAAGGTATCTTTTAAAACATACCTCAAAGGATCTGAAGAAAACAAGAAATACTGTAAGGGAATCAAACTAATGATTAAATTAAATTAATATTTAACATTTCTTTCTAGATGGTACTTAAGAGTAGAATGATTAAAGTAAATATGCAAAAGGCACTTAAGATGATATTTAGAAACTTAAATCACTAAATTAAAGTAGAAATACTGAGTACGAGGATTTAACAAGTGATGACGGTGATGATGGGTATATGAATGATTCTGGAGATAATCTTTCAGAGGCATTCAATACTTGGAAGACATTTAAGCGCTCTCCGAAAGAGCTGTGGATAATCTTGATGTGCAAAATATTTGAAAGCTTCAGCTTCATCTCTGAGGACTTTGTATTTATCTTATTTTTCAGCTCGGAGTTCAAACTGTCTGAGTATGAATGCGGTGTATTGTATTCAATTACAGCTGGTCTTACATTTCTCTATGGGTTATTTATAAGTGGATATTTGATTGACACAGCAGGAGTAAAAGCATGTATGTTAATGGGATCTTTTTTCTTAGCAATTACTAGGCTCTTAATGACTATAATTGTGCAAAAAGAAGAACTTTATTTAATTTGCTGTACAGTATTTCCCTTAGGACTATCAATGTGTAAGGATTACTCTTTTACAGAAAATAACAACTATATTTTATAGATATTCCTACAATGACACTGGGAATAAAAAAGGTTACTATTGGTAAGACTAGATCTCTGGCCTATTCACTATTTTATGCTATGCTGACATTGGGACTGTTTCTTGCTGGACCAGCTGTTGATCTAATCAGATCTTATCTTGATCGTATATAGAACTTATATAAATTAAACTTTATAGATACTGAGATTACAATTAGTAGTAAAACCTATACACTATCAGCTTATAGGATGGTCTTTTTATTTGGGTTTTGCCTGACTTTCTTTTCATTTTTGACAACATTTATCTTCTACAAGAATATAGATGTGGAGGAATCTTAGAGCATGATCAGAGTCGATTATGAAAAGACAAATGATAGTATTTGCAGATTATGGTATGATGTGTTAACAGACGGAAACTTTTGGAAGTACCTATTTTTTGCACTAATTACTATTGGAATGAAAATGATATTTAATATGCTCTCGCTGATTATTCCAAAAATATTAACTTATTCATTTGGGGAGCATGCTCTGTATGGTGTAATTATTTCTGTTTGCCCCTTATTCATTGTGATATTCCTATTTTTGACTTCGCCTTGCACAGTATACCTAGATGCCTATTCATAAATAGTCATGGGAGCATTCTTCAATACATTTGCACCAATATCTCTATTCTTTGGGATAACCTATCCACACATTTTCATGTTCATAATTTTGGTTTCATTGGGAGAATCTCTAAGCTCACCTAAGCTTTATGAGTTTATTTTCTTTTTTTCAAAAAAAGGAAGAGAGGGCATGTTCCTAGCATTAACAGCAGCACCATAATATCTAACTATGGCTGTAAGTGGCTATGTAAGTGGTATTCTGCTAAGCAACTTTTTCCCTGAAGAAGGAACTAAGAGACCAGACTATATTTGGATTACAATGATGGGTAGTAGTGGACTCTCCCTAATATTATTCATTGTATTTAGAAGATGCTTTAAAGTTTAAGGACAAAATAATCAACTTGCAGATTATTGACTTCTAGGGTGTAAGAAAATGATTTAAATTAATTCATTTAAACTTTATTTATTCAGCTTGATTTCATAATTGCAAAGTATTTTATTCTCAATAAAGTTGGGGTTTTGGGGTTTTGGGGTTTTGGGG